ACTTTGATAAACATCTGCACCAAATGTGGAAATGCACACCAAAATCATACAGCTTTGTGCTCAATAACGTAGTTTACGCCCCTCTTAGTATCAACAACAGTGCTCTGAGACTTTCCGTATATAATCAGAAGTTGTTAGTACTACATGTCGATTTTTGACTCATTATAAAAAACACCCAGTCAGTCACCACCAGTTTCCCTGTAACCGTTAACCTCCAACAGAGGTAACTGGATAGAGAGCCTTACTGTAAAACCTGAACATTAATCGCGAGGCTGGATACTGATTAAAAGTGATGACTGACGAGTGCCGCACTATTTCGCTTGCCACAATAAAGCATATGTGAAATCTCAAAGATAGTCTGCCTGAACGTTTACCCTCAGACAATTTCCGGTGCTTTGTACGCTTTGTTCTGGATACCGGACGGACCCTCGTTCTTGTCTCACACTTCCGACACGCAACGTTGCCCTTATCTAACCTGTCTATCATTCAAGGGGTTGCTTTTGGCTGAACGATGAGAGGATTCGATATTTTATCCCGTTTCTCCTGACAAGATATTACGGCTGATGCTGGGAAGAGTTTAGTGAAACGACATGTTTCGGATTTGCTTTTCATTACTGAGTAGCCCATTCCTTCGAGCTACAGTGTGAAAAAGGCGACAAGGGTGATGTTCGGATACCATTCAAAACAGGAAGCATCCTGGCACAAACGCCGTTAGATGTTCCCCAAAGACTAACGGTTTCACCTAACCCATTGATTATCTACGGGTAGCCATTTGAGAATGAAACTCTTGTGGAATACCTTTGACCTGAAGACTCGATCAAGGAACGTCAAAATGGGGAGGTGAATATTCTATGAACGCAGTGCAGACAGAGATACTGAGCACGAACAGGTGTAAAGCAACAGGAGTACCGGGTTGGACAGAGGATTGGCACAGAAGTTATTCTCCAAACTGGATTACAGGAGATGAGATTCACATTCAGGCGAACAGAGTAGAGAACAATACTGTTTCTATGAGATAATGTGTGACTGGCCACTAGCTTGAACTTTGAATGTGTGAAGGCTTTTGAAAGACAACCGTAGAGAGGGATACGATGGACGTAGATCTAGAGGTGAAGGCTAAGAGAGGGTTCTGTGGACTCTCGAGAAAATAGCGGGAAGTCGCCAGAAGTTAGAGGATACGGGTTTAACATGTCGTCCTGTATAGGTTGTGATAAAACGTGGTGTCTTGATCAGTAACTGAACAGCATCTGAGGTATACTGACTGACAACGGCGGTGGACTGAATTACTTGGTACAAGGCATGATGACACGTGTCTGGCTAATTCTGAAAGGAACCCTGCTACACTATGGCAAGTTCATTGTCAGAAGTTGGCGGGCAGAGTTTATTGCGTAGAATCTGAAATCGAGCAACCAAAGATAACTGTCTAAATCCACGTTGTACACATCCATTAATAGGTCTGGTTATTACGAGATTCCTCGTGACTAAACAGAAAAGGAATGCATAAGTACCCTAATCCTAGCTAGTTGAGTGCTTATTTGTTCTATGACTGTCTTGAATGGTTTGATTGATGAGTTTACCACAGACATTCACTATGCCCTTATCTACATCCCTTGAAAAAGAGGTTGTGGCGGTGGGAGAAGTACCCTACTCTGCAGGTGTATAGTCTGTCCCATTTTCCTAACCCCAACCTGACCTCTCCCACATTATTCTTCCACTTGCAATAACGACTCGGAATTTACATGGAATGTATATATGCACATGCAGAGTCACAGCTACCCTGCTGTTTACACTCAATCATATTAATGTCATCAGTTTGACCCCTGATCTCCACCTAGCACTCGTTCTGTAACGATAGTCAGTTCCAAGTGTTTACACATCCGTTAAGCCTTGAAATTTACGCCAACTACCCATGGCAGTATACAAGTTAACGAGGTTCTTCAATAAAGCAAAACCCATACGTACTACACTTGCCACCGTAACGGATCGAATTCGGTAACTGTTCGTCATGGTTGGAGGATGCGAAGTTGCATCCAAAACGCCACAATTCCCCTTGGATCAATTCTGCGATTCTCATCTTTTTTAACGTATTATGCCCACCTGCGGGCATAGTCGTAGCAAAGACTGATGGTACCATTCACATTCTTAGGCCAGAAGGCATATCAGCGCGCCAAAGCGGTCATTATGCTATCATCTGCCCTATAGGTCGTCAATGGGTCGCTGAATAAAGACCGGAGATTGGTAATCCAGTATTCATTTGTTAAAGGGTAAGTAGAAAACCCGTTTGGGCCCCATCTGGGCTGGGACAAGTGCCACGTGATTCTCAGACTTCCGTAGTTTTACTCAAAAGTATCGTCGTCAACCTTTTCTACTAGGACAGTGACCAGCGAGCTGAAGATAATACCAAGTTTTTGTGACAACCTGAGAGTAGCGGAGAGCTTGCACATGTGCTGCTTCGAAAGGGCGAAACGGTGACCTGTTCGCCGCTCGTCCGCTCAAAGCGCTATTCCCCCTCCGAAATCTAGCATTATCCGTTAGAGGATAGTCACACCTCCCATAGATGTGAGATAACCACTTACTTAGCTTAGGACGATTATCTCTTGAGAAAGGGATCATTTGATTCCAGAAATGTCTTGGGTACCCACTACCCAGGCACGGCGATCGGCTCTCAGATATGCAAAAGCCGCGACCTGGTGGCCCAATCCGTGAGCCAAACGTAGGGGCAGATTCAGAAACTCCAGTCTGTCTTCGTGTTTACATTTGAGAACCTATTCTCCGGCGTGTTGCAGGCCTTTTCACTCGTTCTGTTTGTTGTAAGTCTCCCGATGCATGACACTATGCTGCACATACACCGTAACCGGAGATAGGCACTCTTGGTTTCAGTCTGGGGGAAAACCTACATATGCAGGAAAGCATAATACTTGCTTAAAATTGACCCAATTTGTATGGATTGTTATCTTGATGATAGTCCTCCCTAAAACTACCAGGTAGTAGCGCCTCATCGAAATGCAAGACACCGATGTTAGCCTCGTTACCCATGAACACACCGCGGGTACCTATTTTTTTGACCAATTCACAGGACAGTCCGGGTTTTCATCACAGCTTCGAATGACTCTTTGCTCTTTGCCATCATCTGTCTAAACAAGGCGTGTGGAATAAATATTGGCGAGTAGATGACTTACATGGATTAAAGAAGTGCAAGGTTGAGGACGTATCCTTACCGAAATCCGATGTGGACAATCGGCTACGTCAACATGCTCTCTCTCTCTGACCCTGGCAGAAACCAAATCTTAGATCCAAATTAATATTTACCCAGCCCCATATGCTCTCTTTTTTGATAACCTGGCGTGCGAGATTTTAGCAAAAGCCCTACTGAAGTCATCGAAAATCACATATACATCTTCTGTAAACCCCTTGGCTTCGATTCATCATCATTCTCAAACCACAAACAGGCTGGTTAGACAAGGGTGAATTTGGCGAAATCCGCATTGGTGAGAATGAACCGGATTATCCTCCGTCAAACAAAGTTGCACTCGACTAAATATGATTCTCTCCATGAAACTGCACAGCACGAACGTCATACACGCAAGACCATGTCTTGTTTCCACTTTTTGGACTTCGGATCGATGGCTTCAGCCCTACATCGGATAAGAAGTCATCCCAATTAGGAAGAAATTATAAACAGTTTCACGAGAGGGTCGGAGGGGACGTTCACTGATTCGTTGAGTCCAGGCAAGTTATGAGAAATCAGCAACTTTGAACGGTTGGATTCATCCTATTCAGTAATAAACAGTTTAGCAAGCAGTTGCAACTAGAGGTCCTTGATCGTGTTCGAAAGTATACACCGATGCGCTTTTTGGTGTTGTCATCATCATCATTGTTAGCTGTGATAACCGCGTACTCGTCGTACAGTGGTTGTAGCTGCCGCGGTTTCGTTCACCGATTTTTTGGGGGGTAGGTAGCTGCGCATTGCAGGCGGGATAAATTGATAAATTGGTGCGTAAATCCAGCATTATCAGTGGGCTGTCAAGTGGGGGTTGGAAAAGGAGCTATGAATTGAAGGCAATAGCTTGGATGCATGAGCACCATTGACGGCGAGACTAGGCCATATCTGACAATGTCTGTAGCTATTGATGTGGCCCGTCTCGGGGTCCCCATCCAGGAAGACGGCAGTGACCAGCGCAGCTGAGTTTGCTGGTAATGGCTTTCATACTTCGCTCCCAAGTCATTGTTTGACCGCCTCTGGCTCTGTTCCACCCTTCACGTGGTTGTGCGAAAAGAACCCTTCGAGGAAGTCGGTTGACTGGTATACGCAGCACGTGGTCAAGCCAGCGCAATCTATGCCTTATCATGTGGAATATAGGTGGCCTAAGTCCGATCAACCGAGAGTTGTGTTAGTCCTAGGAATGGCAACCTAACACGGGAGACAACTGCTAGACCGTATAAGAACGCATCCTATCCCTTGTGATGTGACATCTGATCGCTCCTATAGGGTGACCGTCCAGGAGGTGGACGGCTGTGCAGTGGAGAAATGCGTTAAGTGTTTAGAAAATAGGCCTGTTGAAGGGATAACCAGTCAATTACCAGACAGACTAATCAACCAGCTTTACGCAACTTCGCTATGATATGAATCCGTTGTGCAGGAACGATGCTTAAATTGCCGAAAAAACTTTGATCAATATACCACGTCAAGGATGGCGTTGGGTTGTGATTTATGCAAATCTAGCAGCCGATCGCCATGCGTGAGAGGCTGTTTCGGGAACATTTCTGGAGGGCATTAATTCTGTCTCAGGAGAAAGTCGTGCGATAGTAGTAAGAAAATGAAATCGATAATTTCAACTCACTTATTCGTACTCATGTTATGATGCCTACTCAATCGATCAATTCTCTGTCAGCGGCAAGACAAAACCCACACAAGTCCTACTTGGAGTGATCGGAGTAACCGGAAAAGTAGAACGAACCAAATGGATTATCCAATTGAATCGTTCTTTAAATGAAAAGCGTCAGTCATTTGCATCAATATGTTGCTTTCGTGTGTAGAAATTGAAACGATATCTGTTGTCAGGTCGGATTACTTCGAATCCACCTTCCAACGTACCGAAAACTTCATCGGCTTTGCGAACCACAAAAACGCCACCGGAATTTTGGAATTGGTTACAGTAGTTTGGAGCGGAGAACAAGGTGATCAACCTGTTCTCGTAGTAGAACTCATATCCATCCTCAACCACTTGGTGGGCTCGGACCACAAGATCCAACTCATACGTATCCAAAAACGTGTTGATGACATCCACCCCAAAATTGTACGCGCAACCTCGGCTACTCGGAAGCCAGCCAACTGGCAAGTCCCCGGCCTGGGTATAATCGGCTGGATCAGACCAGACCAGATCACACAACAAACCTTGACGAGGAATTTCGGTCGGACGTTGAATTTGGTTAATAAGTGTATCTAACGGCTTGTGTACTTCAGGGATTAGATCAGGGGAGAGACCACCGTGACAGCAAAAGATGCTATTTTCAATGACCGCAGCCACAGGCATTACATTGAACACGGACACAAAATGTTTGTGGACTTTGCTCTTGCCAAACCGTTCTTTGAGCTCCTCTCGGAATCCATATACTCGATTAATAAGTTCACTCTCGTGATTCCCACGTAGCATAAAAAATCCTCGGGGGTATTTGATTTTAAACGCGAATAATAAGCAGAGTGTCTCAACAGACTGTGGACCACGGTCAACGTAATCCCCAAGAAACAGAAAGCGAGATCTTGGCGGATATTCACATATATCAAACAGTCGTAATAAATCATAGAATTGACCGTGAATATCTCCACAAACTTTGATTGGAGCATGAATACGAATGAGCATATTTTCGCTTTGGAAAATGGGTTTCACGAGGCAACACAAAGCCACACATTCCAACTCCGTGATTGGAACACGCACTCCAGGATGGCGTATGTTATCCTTCAGGCTTCCTATGATCTTATCCAAATCAATTTCATACGTTGGTTTTTCTGATTCCGCCATGTCAACTACCAGTATTCAAACTGGTGCAGTGAAATAAGACAACACTATATAAGCACAAGTCAACAAAACTTAATGTCATTGTTGATCAGTAGCATATTCGAGTGTTATTATTGCGCGTTGTGCACAGTATTTGAAAGGTTATGAGCCTGTATCGATTGGAAGTGTATTGGACACGTGACGAGTCAGCCAGTGTAGGTCAGTTTAGCGTTGGTGTTCACCAAAGTGTTGCCTTCAGGAGAACAAAACACTTCTAGAAAGATTTGAAAACACACGGCCGATCCATCCCTACAGTAGATGAAGAGAATTCCTAACAAATGTTCTGAAATACCTTTGGAGCGAAACAAAAATCTATGACAAATCAAGAGGCTCAGATTGCAATTCTGAATCCTGCACGCTGGGCAAGAGGAATCCTCACTGGAACAAACTATGGAGTGGGGATCATGGACAAGAGGAAAAATATACTGATAGAATTAAATCAAGCAGTGACGAAACAAATTTCCGATGGAAAGCAACAAGTCAGAAGAACAGACTGCCTGAGAACCAATAACAGGGAACCAAAATGTGATGTTCGGTTCAATGACTATATCCATCCAGATAGAATACTTCACTACATAGGAAAGTGAGAAGACTGACAGTCCATAGACGGTGTAAATTCTCGGTAAGAGGCACACAGCAGGAGAAACAAGGCATCCATCATCTTCGGAAATGGTGTACACATGGATCCAAATACCTAATGGCAATCGGTGCATTTCACGAAATGACAAGGCGTAAATATGTAGTATTTATTGATTTCCCGAGTGGTTGACCAGTGGAGGCCTCTTTCTTATAGACTTTTGAGCTGTCGATATTTAGGATACCGTATGTTTGCAATAAGTCCACTGGCAAGTCTAGGTTGAGCTTTGAAAAACTGGTGGCCGCAATAAACTTTGGAGGCGCTCTTTTTTTTTGAAAAAACCCAATCCAACACATGGGCAACCCTTGGTGTCGTTAGAAAATCCAAGTAGATTCTTTTGCGCATAAGCAGATAGCAGGTTGAGGTGAATGGGATGCAGTAATTTTACATAAGGACTTGTAATCTGTTAGCTTTCTGCCAGTGAGGATACGTATAAATCGGTTGCTGTCAAACCACGAAGTCACAAATACTAGACTATGCAGCGAAATAATAGATACGTTTAATTTGGGGACAGATATGCGTATAACAATCCCGACTGTCGAAGAAAAACCGGGCATGCGTCCCATTAGGCACTCCATAGATGGACGGCCCTGATGAGAAGGCAACAGGTTATTCCGAATCTTTTGATATAAAGCAACTAGTCCGAACCCAACAATTTCACGTATCCTCCGGAGATAGGCGGACATCCAAATCAACTAATTTTCATGGTGGCTGTGGTCTAGCCACTACTTGCGACAACGTGATGTTACCTCCCTATGTATGAACTCCTTTGGATTTGTCTGTAACGAATAGTAGAAATTCTGGACCGCTCAAACGCTAGGACCAGGCATCTGCTGCCTGCCTTGGGCGCACAATGATCTTCCTGTTGATTTGAATTTGTGCCTACTGTTAGCCGACTAAATATGAGAACACATTGGCCTCGAATGTGAACTCTTTAGCAGATCTAGCATGCCGTTATTCACCTGCCATGCTGAGTGACCAAATCAATCTCGTCCACCTTACCACACAAACCATAGGTCAACCAAGGTTCGGTTGTCGTTGGTTGCTGAGTTTGTCGAATGAAGTTCGCAATTCCGTTAATGGCACTTCTACTCAATCTACCGCTTGGACGTGTTTATTTTAACGTTATCCAAATGTGTACGCATCCTCTTCTTTCATAATATACGTGTATCATCCGTTATCTTGACAATGAAATTCCCCACGTTTATTATGTCCCCATTTGTAATCCCCGTCCCATTTTTGTTGTATAGTTTGTATATATGAACTGACGTTTGTTTGTTCTTACCACTTCACCCATTTGGCCTTGGGGTCATCCGGCCATTTGTATCTGACTGCACGTGTGACTGTCGCACGTTGGTGCCTGTTTGCTCCCTTGCTTTGCACTTTTGTAGTCCAAGCGGACTGTTTGTTTTGGACGCGTATCTACTGTCGAAAAATGTACAAATTGTGAATTTCTCTTACCCTAATAGTACCGTATAGAAACCCAGCTCCGACTTTGTTTTGCCTACCCGGAGGTTCTGGTATTACGCGTCACTCGAAGATACCGCTCGAACGTTACAATAGGACCTTCTCGCATTATATTTCTTCTCCTTCCTCTTCTTGTCACCCTTTGCTAAAGCTTTCTTCTCTCATGGCTTTATGGCAGTTAAGCACAAACTTCCTGGTATGTTGATTTTAATGACGATGACAATTTCGGAGTTTTTAAAAAACTTTTTCCAACTATGCGTTTGTCACAGCAGTATCGCTGAGGCTTGATGACTTGTATTGACAGGATGTTGCTCCTGTAGCAAAAAAATAATGAGAATGAGCCCTTGAAAACAAGGTGGCTGCATAATTATTGGTGATTGACCTGTTCGCCGTTCTCGGTATTCAGGTTGCAAACGTTTTGTTACCCTTCGAGGTGACATCGGCACAGCGCGGCCTGGTTGGTAGTCCCTTCTTGCCCGCTTAAGTTTATACAGCTGTCAAAGACTAGCTGATAGTTAGTAGTGTAATTAGCTAACTGGAACACACCCTTCTCGAAATCCAATGGGTCAGTTTCAAGTTTTGTGGCGTCATGCTGTCTATACCTTGCAGTCGACGCGGGGGGAATTACGTAGCTCCTATTCGAGTACCTTTTGTCTATGGTCTGACTGGCTGGTTTCCGATTTCTGTTGTTCTGCCTTACCTTGACTTTATCGGCTGTTACGGCAGTTTCTATTATTAGTAGTTCAGTTTGATTCGTTCACCCCAAAATTAATTTGCGTTGCGGTATGACTTTCTCAGGTTTGCTTGACTTGCTGCGTTTTACCAGCTATAGTCACTTTTCTCGTGCTGACCACCTAGTCAGCCACCAATGAACACACCCGGGATACAAATACTCCAGTACGTTTCTCAGATAATTTTGTCGTGGACGCATGAGTCGGTGAGACTCATCATAGAGGACGTTCGTCCGGTGTTACCATAGCACGATAAACCACTGAGCAAAATCTGAAACAGAAGACCGAGGGAATAGATTTCCTAATAGCTGGCTATAGAGCAGTTGAAGTTGTTGGCAGTATGAAGAGAACAGGGGATTTTTGTTGGTGTAGATTTCATCGTGTAAGTGAAGTCAATCTATGCAGAGAAACCGAGAAGCATTGTACAGCTGTTTCATCAGCAGTGCGTATCTCACGAAACTCCAGAGAGTCTTGAACTCGCAACCTCATGGCTAAAAGTTTGAACTCCGAACCGTTCGGCCACGAGCGACTGATCGGTAGTATGATTAACTCGCACTTAGGATATAGCGCCGCTCATCCTTCAATCAGTGTATGAGCATCGCATCCCAAATCTCTTCACACTACCAACAATCTATAAGTAGCTTAGAGGGAGAAAATTCACCCGATGAGTGAAACTTCTGTTTGAGAAGTCGGCGTTCGAGGAGCCAGTCAATAAATGTGACCGCGTAACGTGGATCCAGTGATTGAAAGATGAATGGTGCTATATCCTGTTTAAGTGCAAGCTAATCACAATACCGATTAGATGCTCGTGGTCGAAAGTTTAAGAGTTCAAACTTATAGCCCGTACATAGCACGTTCTACAAGCAACTCAGCAACAACAAAGGTCATAGTGTGCAGTGCGAATAAACAAAAGCGAATTCAATATGGATAACACAAATTATACTAAAAGAGGAAAAGTCGAAAAAGCCGACGCAGTACAAAGGCAGGTTCCATGATGTTTTCAAAAAATGTATCAAAGGACTAGAAAGGAACAAGAGTGTCAAAGCAGAGAAAACTGATTGTTTGGATAGAAAGGTATGATCGAAATGAAGGTTAAGTCATGAAAGGTTTGGCGATTTCGGCCAACTTGTCGATAAACTGAAGTTTTTCGTTGTGTGATGAATGGGTTCGAGCGAGTGGTAGATGTTTCGGGACCACCTTGCGATCTGTAAAAGTGTAGGAAAAGAACAAGTAACGAATTTTCCTATTGCTTAGGGAGCGAGAATCAGACAGGCATCGTCTCGTAGTCGAGGTTGTAATATCAGAAAATTCAGGAGCTGAACTGAAGACCCTAAGGCATTTAACATCCAGGATTTCATCCTTTCCAACTTTAGGGCCTCCGCATAGCACAGAATTGCTTCCGCTCGTCATTCCGATACTCAGGAACCGAATAGTTTCTTCACTCCAGCAAACCAAACAGTGAATTAGAGAGGCGCGGATATTCTGGCCGTTCAGCTTACCCTAGGTAATCATCAAAGCATCAAAACTGGTGCAAAGCATCGATCTATCATCGCCATACAGTCCAGAAAGTCCAAAATACTCCTTTGCCTTAGAAATCCCATCTAACCTTGAGCTTGAATCCCTTTTTGATCAGCTGTCCGATCATTCAGGTAACCCGATGCTGGTGTATAGTTAGGGTATTTTGTCTTGATCGTCTTTCGCCCTTGATCATTGCGGAGCACCCAGTAATTAGTCCCAGTAGTCTCGCGAAAGATGATATTTCCATCCGGAGTGGGAAAGCCAGAGCAGCTTTTGTGAACCTACGTCCCTTGTGATGTAGGCGTGACATCAGCTTTTCTGTCAAAGGTCGAGTTCACAATGTTTCCGTGCGCTCCATATTACTATATGGATCAGAAACCTGGCCGCTGCGCGCCGAGGACGTCAAAAGACTTTCAGTGTTTGACCATCGATGTCTTCGGAGCATTGCCCGAATCTGGTGGGAACACCGGATCAGCAATGCTGAAGTTCGTCGAATGGTATTCGGGAGAAATAACTCACCCTCGATAGATGAACTGACCATACTGCATAGGTTGCGCTGGCTTGGCCACGTGTTGCGTATGCCAGTCGACCGACTTCCTCGAAGGGCTCTTTTCGCACAACCACGTGAACGGTGGAAGAGAGCCAGAGGTGGTCAAACAATGACTTGGCAGCGAAGTATGAAAGCCATTACCAGCAAACTTAGCTGCGCTGGTCATTGCCGTCTTCCTGGATGGGGACCCCGAGACGGGTCACATCAATGGTCAGAGACATTGTCAGACATGGCCCAGTCGCGCTATCAATGGCGCTCGTGCATCCAAGCTATTGCCTTCAATTCATAGCTCCTTTTCCAACCCCCACTTGACAGCCCACTGACAGTGCTGGGTTTATGCACCAATTTATCATCTCCCGCCTGCAATGCGCAGCTACCTACCCCTTCCTCAAATCATGGGTGAACGAAACTGCGGCAGCTACAACCACTGTACAACGAGTACGTGGTTATTAAAGCTGACAATGATGATGACTTTCAAAATGGTCGACAATCCCCAGAGACTTCATTTGGCAAAATACAACCAACTTCTTGGACCTCACGAGATAAGTTTCGCACATTAACAAATCGACCGTATCAGTTTCAGAATAAAAAGGACAATATAGAACGAAAAACAGACAATGAATACGATCGGTTATAGTCTGACAAGACTAGGAACCACACGGTCACCTGTTGCTAACAAGTGCGGTACGCGTGTGCATCTGAAGCTCATAAAAAATAGAAACGAACTCCGCACCTTGGAAGAAGGATCCATTTGGATATTTTCGAAGATTTGGGGTTAATGCAAGCCATACAACCGTGTCAGCACCCTGCTCCGGAGTGCGCAGACGTCCATGCATTCTGTGGTGAAAATCGGGCATACTGTTGGCAACCGCCTGTATGGAAAAGGGAGTCAATTATCTGCTGTTATATGTATATAAAACAATCACGATCCGCTACGAAGAGTCTCGAAAAAATGACCTAACATACCGCTGATGTTAAATTTAAAAAAAACGGAGCCCATCTACGATAGAATAGATTAGATATATCTCACATTTTGAGACACGGGCCTATAAAAGCCGTCAGTATAGGGTCCGGTGTCTTCCTTATCATACAGGGGTGAGGCTAAATATCAGTAAACCTGAGTTCACGCGTCTCTATGTCTATAACGCGTAGCATGTTCTCCCATCAAATGGGGGAATCGGTGATGATACGGTAGCTGTTCGAAAGCAAAATATGATGGGCGACGTGCTCAGCATTGGGATAGCCTGGGAATACAAGGGATCGGCAGCGACAGTATTCAAAAATGCGGCTCAATGGAAAGGCCATTAGCAGTCAACCGGACACTCACACGTGTATCTAACAGCTTGAATGTGACAAAAATTCGAACAGTAGAAGAACGGACTGTTATTAAACCCAAGGGTCAGGTAAAAATAAGGAAAGGCCGCCCGGTCAGACACGCTGGTCAGGTTCGAGAAGAGGTTCAAACCCCGGTCGCAACCCCTCCGCACTGAACTGTTTGCTCACTGGCCACGACCACCAAAACCAAGAAATTCACAGCTTAAAAGTGTCATGACAGTCCTCCATAACCGGGCCACGGTGAGATAGCCTGAGAAGTAAGATGGCTACAGCCACCACGGGTGAGTAAAATTGGGGTGTGGAATGGAACAACGAGACCAAATACGGGACCGCCGCTGCGTTGGTAAGTGATAAAGCTACACATAAAAGCAGCCTGCTTAATATTGTAACGTATAAAATAGAAGGGAAACGATGTGGGCACCCTTGACTAGAAACGCATCGTCCGAAGGTGATTGAAAACTCCTGCTTCACAGCTACATGTCTGAGAGGGATGGACAAGCAGTAGTGGAGAACGTAAGTTGGAAAACGGCTCAACTGAAGAAAACCACTCACAAGGTTACTGAAAATTCTTCAACAGCCCACAAATGGTTTTACGCCGCTTGGGGCTGACTCATCAGGTAGGTGCAGTCCCCGAGTTTGCACCAACCTTATGTTCTAGTTGAACCCAAATTGCACGAAATTCACGAACCAGGCTTAGTTGCACACCAATCAGGCTTCATTGGAGAAAATATACTGCAATATCTCGATTATCGTACAAACTGAAACATATGCAGCACATTTGGTTAAAGGATATCATCAACGATGGACTCAGCTGGAATTCAGTTGGGTCTCCTGTCGAAACTGAATTTGTGTGAAAATGAGTATACTCCTAGAAAAGGGTTGTTTCCGCGGTTATGATTATTTAGGTTGTTAAAGCTTTTTCATCCCGCCATCGAGAAACGTCAGCACAGCAGTGTGCTGGAAACTTCTCCCAGACCATATCACCTCCAACTGGATATAATCCGCCTTGATAAATGTTAAGAGCTTCCAAAAATATCCTGGATGATATACAGATGAGTTGAATGGACCCAAATTTGGATAAGAATGATTCGCTATCGCACTCACCGACAGACCCGATTAAGTGAGAGATTCGCAACCAGGATGACTTTAGAATTTAACCGTTCGTGAATAGTCTAGAAATTTTCCATTGATGTTGCATAAATTTTATGAGAGAACTGAAGAGGAATAAGTGTGACGATAATTACACGGTAGTAATTACAAACCCTAGGCAAGTGGAAAAAACATTGGAAACAGCTCCGCAGTGCGCACAGTCGTAATCGTCAGGACCCCGCTAAGGAAGGTATATCTCGAAAGTGAACAGCATGCACACAATATTCCGTTGAAAAGGGGATTGAATATTCCCCCGAAATGAGGCTGAAAGTGATTGAAAAAACTCGCTTCATTACCGTGGTTTGTCTGTACCCAAATTACTCTCGTCAAGACAGTGCGATTATCCTGCGTAAGCCTGCAATGAATAGGGGGAAAGCATTATATGCTAAACTCGTTTTATCAGTACGCCAACGATTGTAGTTTCCTCTCACATCCGAATTCCTTCGTCAATTACTAGTATAACTTGCTCTCGAATCCTTGTGGGGATTCTGCTAGGTAAACACAAACAAACATCGAAGAGCGCCTGACAAGTGTTGCAAATTAATGCTTGTTCGTGTCTATGCTGTGAAGAATGCCGGGAGGCTCAGACACGCAAGGCACTTCTAACCTATGAGGATTCATCATGGTGGTGTACGGTTCAATGCGTTTGAGCCTTTTCGGATCCGATCACATCCCTACTCTCAACATCCTATATTGGTTATTACCAGACCCATTGAATCCAACTTAACATGATAATAATTCCCCATTCATTTGCGACAGAGGCCGCCCGTCGGACATTGGCATACTGACCCGCGCGTGTTCGTGTTCTATCTGCTGAGACTGCCCTGACCTGTTCTGTCGTGAGTTCCGTGTGATCGCACCGCCAATCAGAGTGACGAGACTGGCCTCGGAAGGGTCGACCGCAACCCAAACTACCAGGCCAACATTCCGCTTGCCACTGTCTGGTTTGCGGACCTTCACATAGCACCGTGCTGGTTGGCGACAGACCTGCGCACTTGTTGACGCCAACATCGTGGGCAACCGAAGTTTGTTCTGTAATCGTGCTCATGGTACCGTAGGTATTCGAACCCGATTCTTCCTTGTCATAATCGGGATAGCAAAACCTAGGCGCGAATCAAAGTTCCGGATCGGGAACCCTAACAAGATCCTCCATGATAAACGATGACTATTCAAGAGAAGTCGATTGTTCTGACGTAGTCAACAGAGTTGGCGTCTAGCCAAATACCGGAAGTTTTCCGATTAGGAACTTCCAGACCTTGAAGTCCACATATTTCAGAGTATACCAAAGTGGTCAAGGTTGCACAGCTTCGTGCGTTTTGAAACCAATATTTATATTGTAGCACATGCAACCAGAACACTATGGGTATCTACGTACCGGACCTATTTAGCAATATTTTATGGAGTATATGTGTTATTGAGCAGTCACAAGGGGTCTCCGATGAAAAAACTCCCATCGCTAAATAAATGGATCACTGAAGTGACAGTGTGCACAGCATCTCCTATTGGTATGCTACAAATCCGTTTTTGAGCACCCACAGCTCTCGAACAGCATTGATTCCTCTGAACTGAAAAGGATCAGGCGCGACGAGATAACTAGTACTCCAAAGTGAGATTGGAAGGATCAACTCATTCGGTACGGACAAGGGTTGTTTGTATTTAACTACCACATCGCAGGAAAAATGAACCCAATACAAGTGTTCGATTCATACTCTTGGTGAACAGTCTTCAGAACTTACAACGGAAAAATTCAAGAAAAAATGCGTTTATCTGTACGTCAGATGAGTGCAATCAATGCACTTTTGGTTTTTGTTGGTGGGGACGGTGACCCGAGCCGAGAGATGGCCTTTCCAGGATTCTAAAATCTGCAGAAGCTGCAACAGGTAGACTAAGTGGTTCCTTCCGAGAGGTGGTCTCACCCAGAGGGAACACGGAGTCTATAGAAGGGCAGAAACATAAGGAGACCCCCAATAATGGAATAAAGGCTGTTGAAAGAAAAACTATCTGTTTCCATTCGGGCTACAGCCATACAGATAACAACGTACCGGAGTATCGGCCCAACCCGGATGCATTGAAGCAAACTGAATATCAGGATGGGATTCAGCCCATATTTCGGTCATGACAACCTGCTGCCGCTTGTTCTGCGCATAGACCATGGTGCCATCAAAACTGTTTCTCTGATTCACGAGCATTGGATCAGCATGATCAAGTTTCTGAACGAGCATCCCGCCAGAACTGACCACAATCACACGAGGCTGGATAAAACAGAGAGAAATGCAAGTATTGGCAGTACAGAAGAAAAGCAGAAACGATTAAGGAGGATCCCCAATGTGATGTCAAAAGGGATTTACTTCAAAAGTCGATTTAGTCCCGCTGAGTGAGTTTCACAACCGATGATGATGATGGAACAAACGAAAACTTAATCCAGTCACTTGGTTAAGTTCTGTGTCATCTGCGACCTTCAAAGCATGTAAATCAGACAGGAACATCAATGCGATAGCCACACGAACTTATTGGGCAGGTTTTTCAGCTCTAGTAACACCGTCTGTGAAGTCAATCGTTCATTGGACAAAGAAGTCGACGCACTCATGCGTAGTCCAAAAACGATGTGGGTAAAACCGCATATGAAACACTGGAGTACGTTCGTTCTCCACACATGGAGTATATAGCTTCCCTCTTCTCAAAATGGCATGCGAGAATCTCACGGCCTCGTTCAGCTCAAAAGCAACACACATAAAAGTTACTCGAATTTAAATAACTCCTCACTGGCTGGCACGCACCCAATATGTATAAGAATTTGTTAGGAAGGTGAAGTCTGATGGCAGACAAACAAGAATCATACACAATTAAACTATGGGGGCGAGATGGCTCAAATGGTTAGAGCGCGAATTTACCGACCTGAGGGTCCGTGGTTCGAACCCGACCTCTGTTACTCGACTTCCCCTGTCTAAGTTTGGTCAACCTGACAGTATCCTTCCTTCGGGTGGCATCGCAGTTAGGCACCGGAAGGGTGCTGCAGCTGAACGATTTTATTTCATTTATATTTACAATTAAACCATTGTTGGGTAGACATCACGAATTCAGTCACATACGTATTTGTCACTCAGCCGCCCGAGAACAATACACTGACTGTGTTAGTCTTCCTACTCTACGACTAAGGGTGAACCTGAATAAGGATACTACACACGGGACGAATGACAGCTTCTGGGGTTAGGTATCAACACCATAAATCTGTCCCTCGGTCTTGAACATTGATCCTACTGTCTGCAGGTCATATTTCTTTGTGGCAGAACTGGAAGTGTTTCAGAGCCAGCCATTGTTAGATTGCTGTGTATATCAAGCAGCCAATGCGTTAGAGGAATTCCAAGATAAAAACAGATCGGAATAATCATTATTTGGAACATAGCTGAGGTGAAAGTTGCTAATCAGGAACTGGGTTCAATCACTCCAAAACGAAGAAAGTTTGACACACAACAGTCAAACAGCCCAGACCATATTACATCAGTGGATTTCTTCAGAATCGGCAACAAAGTCTCCGTCAGTATGTAAGTAGCAAGAGTATTCGTGGCAAAATTGACTTCAAGATTATTCGCATCCACGGATAACTCGTTGGCCATACAACCGGCGTTATTGATCTAAAAAATAATTCGGAGAAAAAACTAGTAAAAGATTCGCCGCGGAAATTTTTTGTGAAAGTATTCTATTTTCACGGACATTTTGGCAAAGCAAAGTGGAGAGACTATTGTACACTCCCGAAGCATCAGTACCCTTCAAAAGAATGTCTCACGAAAAAGTCGATCTTGAAAGGACCTCCCGGGAAAATAGTTAGGTGGGATGATTTACCTGTGTGCGCTGAACAGAATTTTCACGACGTCGTTATTAAAAAATGATCATATGTTGAATAAGAGTAGAGGAAAACATACAACCGTCCAGATTCGTGTTACTGCCCAGTTCACACTAAGCTGAAGAGGGGAAAACATACCTCTATGTCACTTGTCAGTTCACCTGAGGTTCTAGCAACACACTGACACAATAGGCTGATGTCGCCCTAACAATGGTTCCACACATTCCAAATAGCAGATATACTAAGCGCGGTATCAATCATCAAGCCATTAATCATACCGCGAAAGCCAGGTTCATCTGTTTCGAAAAGCATTTCGACCGTAGTCAGTCATTCACAATGTTGATACACCCGCGAGTACTTTTGCTCCAGTATCCACCGGAGAGGTGGATGAAAATGGAACCACTGATTATGTGTATAAAGTAATTCGTTCTTCCTTAGAACGAGCCTTGGAAACATGTTCCATTGGTTTAACAAAGATCACTACCGTCGTGCTGACTGAAAAAAAATCGCATGATAGCGCGAAGGAAAGGAAAGGCACAAAAAGGAAATATCTAGGGAACATTACTCAAGTTATATCTCGAAATAAAAACGCTAGTTATAAGCAAAAATGAAACCAACGTCAATGCTATGATAATAACTGAATGTGAGCAGTCGAGTCATCAATAGATGCCGAGACTGGGAATTCAGGACAGAATTCTATAATCACTCCACCGTTCATGTTACTTCTGGTGCAGACCCGTGGCCGGGTCGATTGTGTCAGCGCATTTTGGTATCCAGCGGATCCAATGTTAAGATGTAGGGATGATAGGGACAATGATAATCACATATAGGGATATGAAAATGTTAGTGTCACCGCTCACCATACGGTAGGCATTAGTTTGCGGGCATCTCTGCCTGGTGGCCAATACACTACTTATTGCAAGCCAAGTAGCCCAAAATCGCGGAAATGTACGTCTGTCAGGTTCATGCGACCCCCTCAAACAAGCGAATGGCCGGAGACAATCCCATGAAGGCGGGAATTTCGAGGGCAATCCAACTAGATGAAGTCCCAAAACATCATGAAGGAGACACCTGTGATTTCAGAAACGACTGACTTGCTCCACATGGGGAACCATCGCAACACAAACTCCAAGTTTGGTAGATGTTGTCACGTGAACTGGTTGAAGTCGTGAGCGCCGCATCAGTGCGCTCGGATTGAGTGGATTTATTTGCCGTAACCAATAATTTAGCCAAAATTGCATACATAGTCTCATCCTCTAGAACTTTATTTTCAATACGGATTGAAGGCGATGAAGGATCATTGGATGAATTACCGCACAATAACTCGAAACTTAAAAAATTCCAATCCTTGGTATTGTTTATGGATTCATTTGTCAAAAGAATCTTTTTTGTAGACGGTCTTATTTATGAGTGCTCATTCAAATTCAAATGAGCAACGCAAAACCTACTCTCAAATAAAGACAGGAGCTCATGACGATGTGATCCTCTGTATCTTTCGGTCACTGATTCCAGATCTACCAAATAGTAGTTACTCAACTACAAAGCTATTTGAAAACATCATGTTATTACGAAAAGTTGTTATGCCATTCATGAAACGACCTTTACGATTTTCATAAAAGAAACTACTCACAAGGTTGCTGAAAACTCTTCGATAGCCCATGACCGATTTCGCTCTTCTTGGGACTCATCAGGTGGGCGCAGTCCCCGAGTTTCCGTCAACCTTATGTTCTACTTAAACCAAAATTGCATGAAATTCACGAACTAGATTTAGTTGCTCAAATAAGCGTATTTCTCGATCTTTACCATTGTTCGTCAGTCAAAACAAAAATACTCTAAACCGAAATGCCCTGAATGGCCACCTAAACGAGTGGGCGAAAAACGATATGGATGTTTCGCCAAATACACTCTTCAGCTGAATGTGCTGCACCAGGCAGTCTCATGTTTCAGTTGGTACGATGTTGCAGATACCGCAATACATTGAATAGAGGTAACACATCACTCATATGGTTGCCAAAACTCTTCGACAGCCCACGACCGATTTCGCCCTTCTTGAGGCTCATCAGGTAGGCGCAGTCACAAAATTTCCACCAGCCTTAGGTTCTACCTGAACCTAAATTGCACATAATCAGAAAAGTCCACTCATGTGCATAACAAATTGGTTTTCACGGGTGAATTACCTGAATCCTAGCTGAATTTCGTTTATGCTGTTAATCCTTGACTGAGTTTGCTGCACCCGGCCACTGCACGTTTCGGTTGGTGCGATATTCGAGATATCGTAAGCCTGTTCATGGCCTGATGGGTCGAGTTAGAAGACTCTGGAGACGATGTAGATGTGATTTTCGATGAATTCAATAGGGCCTTTGATAGATTCTCCCTATTTATAAACCTCGCGAACTTGTATACACACATGGGTATTTGGCATCAATATCGGGTCATAGCGGATGCGTGAACAATTCAAAGTGACTGTCGTCACAGAAATGAAAAAGAGTGCGAGGTCAACTTGATGAAATTAATAGGACTGAGTGTGGACAGCGAGGATGCTGCGCAGCTACATATGCGTGTATGCACTCTGTGTAAGTTCCGTGCCATTATAGTAAGTGGAAGAACAATGGAGGAGGTTCAGCTATTCGACACATACATTCATTCGCACACAAATTCGTTTTTTACAGGAGACCCACCTGAATCTCCCTAAATCTCGGAAAAACAGCAGAGACGAGAAATACACCTAGGACTGAGGTGATTCTCTCGTCAAAACCAAACTGGTGTGCACGCGAGTGTGTTCGTCGCGCCTACCAGATGAGCCTCAAGAAGGGCAACACCGGTCGTGGGCTATCAAGGAGTTTCACCGACCTTAGGAGTAATGTGTTACGTCTATAAAACCTGAACGCTTGTTCTGTATAGCTTCAGTTCATCAATATGACACGAACTTCCCCGACCAACTCATGTAAGGATCGAATGCCGGTGGATTCCACAATACAACTATGAATTTTACTTAGCCGTACACCAGAGTTTTGTGCTCCACCTTCCCAGCTGTTCATCTGCGCCGTACAAAAGCAGATATGGATGGAGAATACCCAGAATAGTTTCCGACCTAAAGCCTATTCACCAAGTGAATCATCGAAGTTTCGTCCCCATTCATGTGCTTCAGTGTTACGTGAAATACTTGAGGTCTCCCTTGGCAAAAGAAAACCCCTGAGTAGGATACCAATTTGCATGCACTGCGCGAAGATCAATTACGAACGCCGCAGGTTATCTGTGTCAAATGATTCCGGTGCAGAACGAGTTGCTCCCAGGTCTGTTCCATGGACTCCAGCAGTGAATTCGATTGAGTGGAACGTGAAGTTCTGCCCAATTGGATTCTACCGAAATAGATATCAGAAGGCTTCTGTTTCTCTACCAATTAGTTCACCAATCGGAAGAAGTGCGTCCGGATTGGCCAGGAGACATGAAAAACTCTTGGAACGAAAGTGAAGCGCCCAAGGGAGCTATTTCGCTGCCGTTTGCCGTTGAGCTCAAATGTACTACTTGGTATTCCTCTCAGAGCTACAAAGTACAAGGTACTTGGGTCAAACCCGGAATGGACACTTGCGAAGGGGCCACGTTGGACGGTAGAGTGGTTTTTGTCAACCCCTGTGGCGTAGACGCCTCATCAATCCTGTCACCAATCATCTGGTTTACAATGCTGTAGTTTTTTCATGCTGCTGTGTGGGTCGAAAGCTTTCAGTATTTGATCATCGATGTACCCGTGGCACTGGCCAAGTCTGGTCGGAATATTGGTTCTATAATACCGAAGGAATGAATTCACACATGACCGATGAAGTGAAGATAATGGCTTCCGCAAAAACACGGCAGAGAGAGCTCGCGTCATGATATGACAGCGAAGCATGGAACTCATAGCCAGAAAACTCAGTGGCGCTTGGAAGTGCTCTCCTTAGATGAGGGGCCGAGGCACTGAGAGACATGATCCAATGACATGAATGTACAAGACAAATCGCTTTCACTGTATATTCCTCCATCGACTTCCTCGCCAACAGTACATGCCTACCACTACCTTTGAATTCGCTATCCAACAATACCAATTACTGTCTCCAATGGGGAGCTAAACACTTCCGTTTTTCGTAACATCTCTGAATAAGAATGTGGCGAATGAAACCACCGCATTACTCGTACATGGTTCACAGCTGACGATAATAGTGGTACCCAGATTTTTATGCTTACCTTTGTTTTGACAGTTACTTCATACTGCTCGCCTACTGTTTCAGAATAATGCATTCGGCCTTCACTAGTTTCTGCTGAGACAACTTTAATTCCTAGATGGGTACTCAAACTAAAGGACATATGGAGGCCTATATAAAACCTTTTCGACCCAATCTTTCGGCATAATTTGTCACTCATTACAATCTGAAATAAATAACACCAGCCGGTGAACGTGTATAGGCAAGAACATCTGAATATGGAAAATACTAGTTCCTCATGTCGCTCAACTGTGGACCTTCAAGTCATCCTTTACGGATGAACTCTCCGGTCAAACACATGAAAGCTGTCTCTCATAACGCAACTTTCTATGACTTCGCCTGATTTTTTCTGACCATTCCGTTCTTCTTCAGTTAGTGTGTACGCTTGAATGGACCGGGTGAAAGGTATTTTTCTAAATCCGCCAATCATGAAGAACTGGAACTGGTCAGTCTATTGTCAAAAAATAGTTGACGGGCCAACAAAAGTAGTAACTAGTAAGTTTGTAATGAAAAGGATGGGTCTCGCCAGATGTCAGTAGACGAAAACTAACGATCACGATGAATAGAGTCTATTTGTCGCGTTCTTTATAGTGGTCACGAGTACGTGTCGGTTATTACCATGGGCGATTTGAAACATACGCAGAAACAGGGAAAGGGAACGCTTAAGCGTTTTCTGTATTAGTTAGCCAAAATCGTAAGTGAAATTTCGACGGATTGTGGCAACACTGCGTAAAACAAAATTAGCACGGATCAGCTGATACACCAAGATGAGTGCTGTCAAACCATTGGTATGAAAACGATACACAAGTGACTTGATTGCCGTACTGATAAAACTGACTTGGAGTTACTAGAGTCAAACTCTCAGGTTAATGAAGTCCAGCATCGTGTACGAGGATCGTGGGAATGGCGGCCAGCCTCATTACTCGATGGTAACAGGGCATCCAAATATACTGGTTGGTTCAAAAGGAGCCAAAGCAATCCATTGCAGACGGAAAATTAATTCGGAGTCAACTGGCCGAGCTCTTTATTGGCGCCTGCTACTCTAATAGAATCCATAGGTATTTCGTGTTTACTATACGCTCATGATATCCTACCCTATGCGGCGATTTACACTAGGTCGTACGTGTGATTAGAGCCACGAGACACCATCCCAATAGCTGTGTCGCTCACGAGAACAGCAAACACTGCTGAGCTGGGATTGCTGGCCAGAAAAACGCAAAATGGGGACCCTCTATTGTGAAGAAGGCTGTGAAGTAGAAATGGTACTGGAGTAAGGATGCATACTCACAAGAACATCCAAGCGGTCATGAGTTGTGGAAAACTGTCTAGCGAACTCAAAGACACTCTTTGCTTTGGCCAGATTCAGCTGGTGTAAATGGACTGTCTGAAAAGAACGAGGATCCGTACGTCAAAATCACAATGGATTACGATGGTAAAAGCGAAACATGAAAAAGTTCGAATCTTGAATTACGTAGAAAATGGGCTGGTTTTTAATGAGACAAGAAACAACCATGAGTATCGAGTTCTGATTAGAAAACGCCCTGATCACACCCCAGGATAGTTAGTGTAACCCACATCCCAAGGGTCATACAAGAAATGAAGGTAAAAGTTCAACAGATGGGCGATTCCCTTGCTTTACCTTTTAGCCTAATGAAGTCGAAGTCCCTTCATGCTGCACTTCGTCGGACCTAAAGAGACACACAGAACAGGGCAGCATGAGAATCTCTCTCCAAAGTGGCCTGATGTGCGACATACATTAAATTTAGTCTCTGGAACCTCATACACAGTGTGTCATGATCCACTTCTGGGTTCGCTTGTGCTGTGCGTATTGACTCCAGACTAGGTAGATACAATCACATTACCAAACATTCTACACTGGATGTTGTCCCCTCAACCCAACAGTTTGATGTGTTTCGGCAATGGCAGGATGCTAGTGAGTTATTAAATGGTCATCTCACGTCTACAGTAAGACGCACTTACTATGCTGCGACATTAGTCTTTCTCAGGAGTTGCCAGCACACTCCGGCACGTCAGTCGAAGTGCTCCCACCTCCATCTGCCATACCTCTGGTTATCTATCGTTTCAGGTACGGTGAGTGCTCGGTCACCTACTGGGAAAAAGTGAAAGGCGACTTCAGACAAGGTATACAAAATATAAACCAATCGCATCTGTCCGCTTCCAGCTTTAATCAAAGGTCATCCAAACGATCACAACCAGCCTCGTCGATCGATCAAACATTACGAACAAGAGTAATGCATTCGAGATCATATTTCACCCATCTAACGGATGGCTACTTCGATCCGCAGAGGTAGTCATCATCTCGCAGTGGGAACCGGAACCGTAGAGACGCAGACAAAAGTTCGCTTCGTTAGCGCTCTCTGGAGACGTGTTCACTGAACGTCAATCCTTTTTGTGCTATTTTCTACTGTTCCACAGGAGTTGCAGTGAAATGCAATCAGATTATCGTACAAATCCATGAAGTTGTTCACTCTTTTCAGGTCCTAAAACCATCAACCTATTCAAATAATGACCAAAAACTACCTCGTCAGGCTTAGACGACTAAACAGGCAAAACCTAGAGTGCGCAAAGGATGGTCCAGTGGCTTGGCCACTTGTCGGTAACACGCAGCTAGCGTTAGTCAGCAATCCATTTGATCTGTACTACTGTAAGTAATCTCGTTGAAAGCCTAACACGGACGTACGAAGTGTAGCTTGCTTGCAAGTCCGTTTTTCAGCATATCAATAAGCCGAACCGCAGATGCCTGATGACAACCACCGCTACAATTGATTGGTCTTGGTGCGACACCAATAAATCCGAATCCGTGAAAAGCATACAACGTAAGGTACAATCAATTAGAATAAATCATCTTCTGTGAGCCACCTAGACGGACAGGAACACAGTCCTAATTTCCGTAAGACTTATCTATAATTATTAGCCTCAAACGAAAAAAAGAAGCATGAAATGTTTGAACATGGGGACCAGTCCACGGGATTTAGCTGGGTTACATAATACGCAGTGAAGACAAAAAATTTTCATTCATCACATCCAAACACCTTGTGCAATCAACAGTATTGCTATTATGCACGTCAATAACTCAACGCTTTCGTGACTGAATAAAGTGAAAGCACTCCCTGGCGATGGCATAGCATTGAAAGGGTATCTACCGTTCATGGTTCAAGGTAACTCAAAACCTAGACAGGCTTAAGACTGGTGTTCTCGCTAGCAACAACGTCCACCTGCAATAGAGGATGATCAATAAATAAGCAGCACGGGATACGTCACTAAATACGACTTTTTATTACTATTTGCAGTGCAGCCAGTACATGTGAAGGATGAGAACCTTAATGCAATTAAAGATTGGCCAGGTAGGTTTCGTTCAGGACTCAGCCAACTATTTAAATATATCACATGAAAACCGTGCTGGTTGACAACATTGTCGAGTTGACGCTCACCGCATTTGGATTTCCCGCCGCTTCAATAATAGCATCACGAGCAGCTTGACCTCGTTCCATGTTCAAACACACCATGTGTATCTCGGCTCCACGTTTGATTAACTCTTTACAACACGCCAAGCCGATTCCAGAATTGGCTCCAGTAACCATTACTCGTCGATTATCTAGGCGGACTCCTTCAAGTTCTTTGGGGTCAAAACGCGCTGAAGCTGATTCGAAGCCACTCCTGAACAAAGATGGATAAAAGTATGGGAGTTCAGGCGCCATGGGCTATTGATCTTCACTGAGAAATGCTGGGGATTATAAAGCCGGAGCTTAAGAAGAAGAACGATTCGACTTTTCGATAAATGGTGTTGGCCTTTCTGCACCTTCTAGCATTTTCCACAGTGACCACAACCGGTGTTCTGGAGAACCCGATTTCACCTACACAAGAAGTCCTTAGAATGCTGTAGAAGCGAACTATGAGGTAGCTTGAACTCGATATCCCGTGCAACAGAAAAAAACCTGCAGTTGCCAACGCCAGCGAAAACGCTCGCTGACCAGAAGGATATTTTTCTTCAGCCAGTTTGAACAAGAGCCATACATGTTGGGTTAAAATAGGCATTATACAAGTTTCATTAGTCTGATCATAACCGGGAGGCTTTACAACGCGAAAAAGATCTGGTGAACTCAAAACTATCTCTGCTAACACTATTTGCTTGGATACCGGTACTTCATGCTAAGGTCAGGAAAACACTCCCGAGTAAACAACACTTTCTCATGGTAATCAAAGCCACTGAAAAGGTTTGATTCACACGATTACACTGCCAAAACAACCGATATTTTGCTTTCCAAGAGAACACGGTATAGGTGGACGTTTTTCTGGTTGCTGAGCAGGGCGCCTCATCAAATCATCAGCGCGCCAGTCGTGAAAGTAAAGCTGTGCGGGGCACTAGTTGGTATGAGTTGAGTACTGGTGTGCATGTGTTTATATACCTGCGACTGATATTCAATCCTGATTAGCTATTTCGCTGTGCGATTGCCTTTCTTCCAACAATCAAATTATGTTACTTCACTCTGTCTCAATTTGTTCAAAATAGAAGTGGTCATGGTGGATACACTTGTGAATAGATTTACCGCGCTGTATTCTTGTTTGCATCCATCTTGTTTGTTCCCTTTTGAAATCAGTTTAACAGTAGTACCAGTAAAGAGAGAAGTGACACATTGAAACTGGAACCATCGATTCCAAGTATCCAAAAAAACAACAGGTATCCGAGAGATTTCACCGGGGGAAACAGCACCAGCGACAACATCCAGAACAAAAAACCAAACGCAGTCCTATCCGACATCAAGAACATATTCCACCTCGTAGCAAGATCCTTACATCAAAGAAGAACCCATGTGTTTCTGACACTGATAGGTAAGACTAACAAAAGCACGAGTACGATGTAGTGTATCAAGTCAATTGTTCCAAACGTAACAAATTCTATGCTGCACAAGCCAGGAAAATCTACCTACGCAAATGTCAAAGTATGAAAAGGTTGTCAGAAGAAATGATTTGGTATCCTTGAGCTCCATACAAAGATCGAGGCCACAATTTCCCTCAGGAAAACTTTGAGTATCTTGACATACAGGAATAAGAAAACAAGCAAGAAAATCTATAGAAGAATTGCACCCACGAGAAATTAGATGACTGGCACATCAGACTCTGGACCCAAGTTACATATCAATGCATGCATGTGACTCAACTACATGGAGCCGATGGTTGAACCAAGATACCAAGAACCAGCAAATCACACACTATTACGTCAGCTGATTGGCAGAGCATTGACCGATGGACAGGTCAGAATTAGAGGCCATGTAGGCGTCGACCAATCAGAGCACACGCGTACGGATCCAACAAATGGAATTGCCTATTGAACTAGGCAAACTGGATTGAAAAACAGTTCCAAGTATATGAACACAGGCAGACCGCTCCTCAGCACATATCTAATTATGTGCCACATCGTTCCAGTACACAACGATGAACTAAAGACGTCAGCTCTGGTGACGGTAAAGCGTTCGCAATCAAAATAACCAGCTCGGTAAACAGACCAAATTTAATGGCTGATGGCAATAACGATGATGAATCAAAGTACAACTGCACACTAATAACAGCTCAAAATCAACTGAACCCATAACTAGCGGTTACTATGGTCCCTAATGTGGAAGTTGTGGTAGTCCACTGAGTCATAGGTAACTGTTGGGACCGTTTCAAAACCACACTCACTTGGTGTATTCACGTATCCCCTTGGTAAACCAGACAACGTTTCGATACAAAGACATGGCACTGAAGAAGGAATAAGCTGTAGATAATCTTAACGAAATATATGTAAACTGCCCGGTACATCGACTAGATGGCTACCACACATAAAACAAAAAACAGAATATATACAAACGAACTGACAAAAATGCCCGTCTGATATGCCCTGCGTTAGATTAGCGCATATAGCTGCGAGTCGACGTCAGTCACGTGCCTAAATTAACTTCTTTAACGTATCGGGTGGCCGCTAATTTTCATCCAGATATTTTGAGTGCGCGTTTGGAGACTTCACCATCCTGGATGCTTGCGCAAGGCCAAGAGTAAGCCCCTTTTAAATTCCCTTTTCGCCATTCTCTTTAACAGAAAAATTTTTTCGAACAAATTGACAGCTAAACAACGGACTCACACTAATGTTGCTGGTGATTATAGCTAGCAAGGGATTTTACACACTTCATTTTTGTTCTGTTTCAAAATAAATGCTCCTCTGGGTTGACGGAAGTATTGGTGTTAGTGTCAGTGAGAACAGATATCCATAACAACGGGTGAATGCCACTCGTCTCGTA